AAAAATGTTTTTTCTTGTACTTCATGTACTTGTACGTATTTGTTATACTATTGAATGAAAATTTCAAGTATAGTAATTAAATTAAAATATAATACAAAAATATTTAGAAAAACAAGTCAGCCGAGTGTGAGTATAGGTAATCATAAGAATACAAAAAAATCACTACCTATGTACTGTGGAATTTTATCTGTTACATCCAAAATTTTTCTTATACTTATACATATTGTCATATAAGCAAATTTTTACGAGTCCTGTCAAATTTCCTTCTTTCTTTGACTCGTTTCCATTAGATTACTTTTANCATAGTACATAACCTTATATGAAATAAGTTACATAATTACTGATATCACCAAATATTATAATAAATAATTATGGATTCTAAGTAATACATGAATCAGACATTGCCGTTTTTTTTATATTCTAGATCGCTAATTTCAAAAACATTTTTTTAGCTGTACTAATCGGCTTATCTGTTTTACATAGTCCAACGTCAAAAATTCAGTATTAACTTGACTATTTTTCGGCCATTAAATATATTTTCCTTTTCTAAAAAAACAGTTGTTCAATTTTTCTTAATTTTCTTAATTTTTCTCGGATATCACTGATCGTAAATTACTATTACCCATTGTCCGGTTTTGAAACTTTTGATTGATTGAAATGGTTAAATATTATGATTTTTATCAACATTGATCATACTTACTATTATGTTATATGTTACTGTCCAGAAAATTTGATGATAATCACAACTAGTTGTAATATTACAAGTAGGGCACGATAAGTAACAGTTAAACTATGAACTTCCACTGTTATATTTGGAAAACTTAACAAGTTGTTGATTTGATGACGTGGTCTATTCGATAGAAAAAACGGTAGTGAGCTTTCTCTACAACTGCGCGCATAACTATTCGTGTGCTACGTGTGTGATGTGTGATTCGTGATACTTAATGGCTTAACAACAAATAATGTGAGTACACGCTTCCGCGTGATAATGGTATCGTTGTCTCGCTTGCACATTTGAAAATAAATACCTTAAGGCATGCGCTCTTCGGAGCCACCGATACTATCAGCTCATTAGAGGAGGCTCTCTGTCTATATGACCTTCCGCATTAGGTTTTTCACACACTATCCCAATGAGCGCGTCATTTAATTCTGGCTAGTGGTAACCGTAGTTTATAATTAAAACAAGCAGGTAAATTTATACAAAATACTTTGTGTTGCATGTGAGGCATTACCAATCTGCGAGGTGTCGGAGGAAGAAGTGTTACTTGAATAACAAGATTAAATTTCGGTATAGTTTCGTTTCGATATCCAACTGAGTTTTCATTTCATACGCTAATTTGGAATTCAATATAACAAATTTACGTGCTACATACACTTTTTCAACCCTTTTGAAACGTTTTCCGTTATCAACCATACCATAGATGAAACCGCTCTGTACAAAAAAATGTATTTTTAAATGATCTACAATTTTTTTACTCTAAATTTTGTCTAAAGATGTAATTTACATAAATTAGATGACGTAAAACGATAATTTTCTATTTTAAAACGATTTTTGCTGATTAAATCGTTATGAATATAACTTAACAGAACAACTTGCTTCTACAAAAAAGTTTCGTTTTAATGAGGTTCGGAAATTTTGTACTCAAAACTTTGTTGAAGAATTGGAATTTATTTTCGCAACAAGCAAAACATTTTTTTCACTATTTTTGCATACCTAAATTTTTCTCTACAGAGCGTCTGCATTGCGATCTATAAAAAACAGAATGACACAAAAAAATTGTAACTTACGAGATCTACAACTCTGTCCTTAGAATCAAACGTATAAAATGTACATGAAATAAGTTATCACAAGTAAATTGATATTTTTTTCTAAAAGAGCTACATTTAAAATGCTGTCAAAATTTTTTCTGTTGATGAAACTTATCCAAATTTGAACTATCAGCTTAGACATCCAACTAGAAGCTACCAACTAAATTTCAGCTTTATTAAAATACAATTACGTAAGTTATTCAAACGAGATTTTATCTCACTGTCGAGTTTTTTGAAAAATTTATTCATTCACCATGAATTATGTTCAATATTCTGCTGTAAATTTCAGAGATATATCAATCAATAAATAATACACAAAGTCCACAAAATTAGCGACTTTTAAGTTATTGAGTTTTTTTATCATGTTACATTTTACATGTAATTAAGGAGAGACACAAAAATAAACTTTTTGTTGCTATCATTTATAAATATGATTTGTTCCATAACTACAGTGTATGATACAGACATATGTTGTCTCCGTAATAACGCTGATAAATATATTCAGCTGATTCTTGTTGGTTTTTAGGCACGTGTGATACTCAGGAGTTTATTATATTTATGCCAGAGAAAAAAACTGTAAATTTTTTTGAAACGTATTGTTTTTGTGTAAAAAATTGCGATCGCCGACCTCGGCGTCACGGGTATATGTAGGTTTAGGCGTAATCAAGTTTTTTGAACGAACTTAAGCAATTTTTGTCGTACTGGCCTGGAATTTGACAGAGAGATTTTGTTTTTATGTCCAACGTGATGGTTTAAAATCGGCAAGGTAAGTTAAGTGGGCAACCAACGTACGGCTGACCTAATGCCATGTAAATGTCTAATTTTAAAGTCCCATTTATGCCAAGGTTGGTCGAAGGTAGGGTAAGTCAGCCGCCAAGGTATGCTCCACTTAACACCCTCTTAAGCTTTCCGATCAGAATATTAGCCATGCCTTAAATGCAAAAACTGCATAAATTTAGCCAGTTGTTTTATTAAAAAAAAACAAAAAAAAAAAAACCGAAAGTATCAAAGAATGAGTACAATTGAGAATAGTAAATAACTTATCTAGAGAGGAAAAATGAAAAAAGTCTCGGATCATAAGCATTTGACATCAGAGGTGAAGTAAAGCCGAGGGTGACAGAAATTTTATCTGAGGCTCTCTTTGTTTCCTTCCGTGGGTTGTAATTATTTGTTGAATTCAAATCGAATAATATATAATACCAACATCAATTTGGAAAATTACTTAAGTTATAGTTTTTTAAAAGTTAGTGATGGTTAACCATTTTGAAAAATTGTTAAAATTTAAGTAAAAAAGCATACACTTCAGATTTTCAAAGATTGTAAGTTCATGTTCAAGAAAATGGTTGCTGAATTTGCCTATTTAGCGCAAAAAAGTAACCTTAAATAGGTCAATTAAATTACAGGTAGCTATGACTTTGTACTGCTTGTCATGAAAGAATTTGGGAAATAATTTTGCATACAATATTTTTAATACCGAATTTTTTATTTTTTTATTTATTCGGAATAGCAAAACAAATGCCGCACGCAACTATTGATAAATGCACAAATATTCTACATTTAACAATAAAACATGAGAACTATTTTGTAAATAAAGTGGCATTTTTAATTACGTGAAAAAGTCTCAAAAATTGCGCTTGGTATAACATAGCTCGTGTAAAAATTTCTTCATCTGTATATCAAGAATATACATGAATTGAAATAATTTATAAATTTTATAACAGTAGATCGACACAATAAAAATATTTAATCAAAAAAGACAATACGTCTTTATTTATTTATATCTACTGTGAAATCGTAATTTATGAAAAACTTCCCTGAAATTTTGCTGATCATATCGGAGTATATTTTATGTATGTAATTTTTAGGGAATTCATTAAGTGTTTTTTTTTTTTAATTTTTTTTTTATTCGTAATGGATTTTTTAAGTTTTCTTATTGAATTACTTCATTAACTTATAAATAAAAAAAAAACTTTTTTTACGATTCAGAGAACTCTTGAGGAACTCTTCATAAATACAATTCATGAGACATTATTTGATATAAATATCAATTCGTAATGAGTTCCAACTTTATTCAAACTTCAATAACTTGATGATGAATACAGGTTTTAGTATTTTGGGAACGTGAACTTGTTAAATTATCCTGCGTATTGGATAATGAATTTTCGTTGGTCGCTAAATTTGCATTAATAGATTGTAATTTTAATCATGGTTAATTTTTATAATTACACTATTGATAAAGCCGTTTTCATCCCAAACAATTTTCTTTCATTATGTCTTTAAATAATCTCGAGACATAACAGCTGAAAAAAACAGCTGATTTCGAGATTGCATGCCAAATTGCCTAATTATTTTTCAAAATTCATATTTAAATTGTTTCTGACTTAAAATAATCACCTTTATTGTCAACAGATATTATTATGGCATTAATGAAAGAAATTAATTGCTAAAAAAATTTACATACAGCAGATGATCGCTTGCAAAAATGCAAGTATCACAAGTGTAAAAAAGTATACAAGTCCTGCATGCCAAAAAATACCAATTTTAATAACAAAAATTATGCATTTCGAAAAATTTTTAAATGATTAAGACACACGATTAGAGTCTATCCAATTCGCCTCAACAATACAATTAATTACTTAATTACGCGTGAAAACAATCAAAAAATGAATTTTGGAAAATCAGCTGACATTATGGTATGAATACTTTAACCCCGTAACCCTGTACGCTCAAGCCGTTAAACCAAATAACCCGGGGTGTAGAGTTCCTTTTCTTAAGATAAGTAACTCTCTTATAGTTAATAAGAAAATGTAATAATTAACTAATTAAACTCCACGCCCAGGGTTATTTTTTTTAAGTGCTAAAGNAAATAAAAAAACTATCCGTCACCTAGTCTGCTTACACACACTGATAAATTAAAATTTTGTTGATCATATAGGGTAAATAATTTTATCCCCGTCAATAAATATTTTATGTTGTGGATATTTATTAAGTATTGATTTTTTATATTTATTTTTTAAATTGTTCATTAGTGGATCTCTAGATTCAATGAAATAATGATTATTCAATTGTTTTTGTTATGAAACTGTGTAGTGTCTCAGTTGCGCACTTATAACTCTCACCCGAAACAATATATTTATAAGCTATAATTTAAGCTGAAAAAAAAAAAAAAAAAAGTTTTTTCATAAACTCACGTCCAATTGTCCCTGGGTCGAGCCAAGGCGCTACCCGTGCGCGCGAGTCCCGGTGACGGTGGCGCGGACGGGAGCATCCTGGGTGTCTGCGGAGGGGTACGGCCCGCGTTGGGCACCGACGTTGCGCTGCTCGTCGAGGATTTACGGCGCGGGTTGCGCTTCGAGGGTTGCCGGCAGATCCCGGTGGGGCAGTTGCGGCCCATCGGGCAGTTGCCCTCGCAGAGCTCGCGCGCCAAAGCCAAGCCCTCGTAGCTCACCAGGGTCTGGCGACACGCCTCCGCGTCCTGGGACGACAGAGCCAGGCTGGGAAAGCGCTCGCGAAGACGCTGCCTCTCCTGTACGGGGCATGAATGTCAGCTGGTCATGTGTATACAAGGTATACACCTGCCCAATTATATACCTCCTGGAGCCGAGTCGACTCGAAATCCTCGAGCTGCTGTTGGAAGCCGACGTTCGGGTTGGCCACCGCCCTGCCGACCCTCACGACCTTCAGGGCGTCCTTCCACGAGAGACTCGTCGTGCTCATTATGTACGCCACCGCCACGGTCACGCTCCGCGACATTCCGGCCAAACAGTGGATGAGGACGTTGCCGCCGCGCAGTCGGGCCGAGTGTATGAAGTCGTTGCACATGGAAAAGTACTGGGAGAGATTCTGGTCGGGCGTGTCGGCGGCCAGGATGCATAGGTAATGCTTGTCCTGTGTGTGTCGAGGAGTTGATTAATTCATGTTCATTTTTTTTTTTTTTTTTTTTTTTTTTTTTAACACTGGAATGCCTCGTACAACGTGTGTATACTTGTCGCACAGAAACAGTGAGTAATTTACAGTTTTAATTGATGCACGTACATTGGAGTGTCCAAAATGTTTGTTTTAGTCGTATACCCATGGGAATAACATGTATTTTAATTGCGAATATACATAACATAATGATTTTCAATCCAATTTCAGTAGAATAGGAACTATCTACTAAGTTTTTTTTGCAAAGTTATTTGTTCTGTCTCCTTGAGGTAACGTTGGTTACGTAGAAGAAATAATAGAAAATTTTATTGGGTTAAAATAACGGAAGAATTCATCAAATTTTTCCTAATTCTGCGGGGGGTGCTTGAGCTGCTGCAGGGGTTCCGAACATATAAAGCCACGAAAAAAATAATGGAAAATTTCATTGGACATTTATATTGAGCTAACATATTCTGAATTCATGGCATGAAAAAAAGTGCAAAGTATTTGAACAGAATGAAATGTAAATAATAAAATAACACATTGGAAGTGTTTGAAAATATGTTAAAGAAAATAAATAATAAAATTGTTTTACGAGTACATTAAACTTTCAACGAAAAGGTCTATAACTTTACTATTAAGTGAATTTTCACTCTTTATGAGACGAAATGAATAAAATAATAAAATTTGCATAAATGAAATAATAAGGCAGTATCGTGGCTTTTAAAAAAGTTGTTTAAACGAATTGTAACTGGAAAAAAATAATTTTATACTAAATGGACAGATTACAATATGTAAGTTGATCAATGTTGGAAAATTATATTAAGTTAAAGCAGCGGACGTATGTTTTTCTTGATTTCTCAGAATTTTCACTCTTTATGAGAAGAAATGAAAAAAAAAAAAGAGGAATTCGGTTTGGAAAAACGCAAATAATAAAGGAGGACACTGCAGTTTTTAACAGAAATGTGAAAATAAAAACAAAAAATATGTGAACACCAGCCAAGTCACCCACGTCCTACTTACCTCACTTACCTGTAGGTACGTATCGGTGAGCTACTACAACGTAGCAAACTATTCAAACCGAGTCCGCCCACGTGAGTGACTGTAGACTTACGTCATGAGCCAGTGTGTACACATCTCTGAACGGCTGTTGTCAATTTGGTCTATATATACTAACCAGACACTTTTTTCGCCACATGCGGGAGCGGATCATGCCGCCACGCGGTCGGAGATTCAGTCAACATTTACAATGCTGCAGTGTCCAACTCCATCCGTTGTTGATAACCAAGTCAGCGTGGCCAAACGGGACACCAGCCTAGCGGCAAATTCAAACGTTCTAAAATCAATCAACTTAAATTTAAGTTCTTAAGCCCCTCAACCTTTTACCCCAAGTACAAATACTTTAACCCCACAACCCTGTACTTTTTAGCCCTTAAACCCAAGACCGGGGGTGTAGAGTTCAATTGGTTAATAATTTCATTTTTTTATCAATAAAAGCGCTACTTATTACGAAAAAGGAAATAACTTGTAAATCATTAAAATGTTATTGGTATGGTGAAAAAAATAATTAATAATCGATATCTCTTAAACGACGTTGTAATGGACTGCAGGCCAGTGCAGGGTCATGAAATAAACCGTTTTTGGTAGAATTACTCATATATGTGTGGGTATGTGTGTATTTGTGCGTGTGCGCGTGTGTGTGTGCGAAAATGGTAGAACGTAGAAATGTCAAAAGCAGAGTGAGCGAGAGGAGGTGGAGTTCTAACGTAGAAGCTCTCGTTGTCAATAAACAACATGCATCGATGAGATGCTAATTATTTTTTTTATTTTATAAAATCGTTATTGTGGCCGTACATATTAGTGTTAATGAAAATATGATAATAAAAATGTGGAAATTCGTGAGCATATTTTTGCTGTTATTGTACTTTTCTCAATGTGAGGTTAGAATATACTGTTTTTGAGCTTTATTTGATGTTTCTCAAGTATGCCTGTATTATTCTTTGTTAATTTTATGAAGTTTCAGTATTAATCATTAAAATTTTTTTTTTTTTTTAATCTTTTTATCACTCAATTCATTGTTTCAATGGGTTTTAGTTATAATACCATTAACTTTTAAGAGTTTGATCCCTTTTTTTAGGCCCAGTCATATGATGATAAAAGATGCAAATGTATATGTCCTAATGTTGACTATGTTTTAAATACTACATCAGCAGATAAGAAAGTTATAAATGTTATTACTAATGTTCCAGCCACTATGTGGTAAGTGCCATATCATCTTTGTTAAAATTATTAAGTTTATTTGATTTTTATTACTTTTCAATGGTATTTTATATATTTTGAAGTAACTGCGAAGGAGTAGTGATTCCGAAAATTGGAGATCAAATCAAGGGAAAAGAACAGATATACTGTCCACGTTGTGATTGTAAATATGAAAATAGAAATACCACAATTATAAAAGTAAATATTTGTTAATCAATACTTCCTAGCCATCTAATCATTTAAAATATTTATGAATAATTGGACTTCTGTTTCAGATTGTAGTTATAATTGTTATATGGGTGATATCCCTGCTAGTGATATATATGTTATTCCTCATTTGTCTTGAGCCTTTGTTGAACAAGAGACTACACAAAGCTACTGGAGGAGTTGGATATCAAGAACACAACAATGAGGAGGTAGATAATGGTTTTCCTATACCTTTACAAGCATTGCACTCTCATCAGTCTAAATTCATAGACAAACTGCTTTGATGATTTTTTTCATTTTTATCTCACTTTTTTTTGTTCACATGTTTTGTGCAAACGTTTTTACCTCATTCAAAAGCATGTCGTACTGTTAATTTCTTGCTTATTTTTGTATAGCTGTACAAATAAATTTATTTTTGAAAAAAATACCGTTTTAAATGCAAGCTTTTTATTTTGGTGCTTTTTATTGACACTGTAGACCATTTATTGCACATTTATTATAACTCAGTAATTGTGTATTTAAGGGTTATTAATGGTATACGCGCAAATGATGAAAAAAATGTTTGTATAATTTTGTCTTAGGATGATACATCCGTTGCACCTGGAATGTCTCATGCCATGGGTGTTAGAGGTAATGTGCTCAATCGCGTTGGTCATCAACAGGACAAGTGGAAGCGCCAAGTCCGCGAGCAGAGGCGTAACATTTATGACCGTCATACAATGCTGAATTGAGATGTTTTCGCGGTGAAAGTCTCTTTTTTCAAAAATCGAGTATCAATAACAAAACAGTCTATGATTTATTATTCGAAACAAATTATATGTCTACACGTATTTTGTGCTTTCAATAGATGTAAATATAAACTATTTTTTTAAGTTTTAATTACTTTTATTCAAAAACATATGGATGTAATGTATATTGATTTTGTTACTTTCAAACTAACATTACTTAGCAATAAAACATTCTCCAGTCACTTGCAAAACGTAACTTGTATTAATTGCAAACTTTACACATTTTAAATAGACATTGAATCATTGATAAAGTCCTTGATTTTATCGTAAAAAACTAAAACAAGTGCACCACCAGTGCCACGTAAGATGTTCGAAAAGGCGCCTTTGAAAAAAGCAGACGGTCCTTCTGTCTTCAAAATTTTAATCCAGCAATCCAGTGTGTTTTTGTACATCCTTTCCTCCACAGGTCTGCCTGACTGCATCATCATTCTCCTGCGTACAGTGTCGAATGGATACGACACAAACCCTGAAGCTGTTGTCACAGTCTTGACGAGAGTTTTTGGATTATTCGTTTTTGTTATTGGTTATTGTATTAGGTAAGTTAAGGATACTTAAAGTCAGGATACCTCGGCAATTAGGAAACTGACAATGAAAGGTGTGGACTTAGGGTCTTTGATGAAAGATGTTTTTATAGTATCATAGGAACCAAAATAGCATGCTCGATAAATGATGATTCCTTGGACACTGACAAAAAAGCCTCTGTACCAGCCGACTGGACCGTCAGTTTTGGCCACTTTCATAAGGCAGTCAATTGTGCCCTTGAACTCTCTTTGGTCGCCCTTGCCTACGTCCGCACCCAATCTGAATTGAATGAAAACAGCAAAATAATATCCAAATGTACATTTTATCCCTACAAAATGATAGAAGTTTTCTGAAGATGAAAAAAAAAGTTTTAATTTTTATGAATGAGTGTATAAACCTTGTCCGAGCAAAATCGAGGGGATATACAAAAAGTAAAGAAGTGGCTCCTGCTGCGCCGCCTGAAGCCAAATTACCAGCAAACTGTTTCCAAAAAGCATCTTTTGGTACACCTTCTAAAAATATCTGTTTAAACTTGTCCTTGAAAGCAAAATTCAATGCCTGAGTGGGAAAGTATCTTATGACATTAGCAAGATTGCCTCTCCAAAGACTTAAAAAACCAGTCTCCCTCGGCACTCTGACAAGAACATCAATGATACCTAAAATTTCATCCAAGTAATAATTTACTTTTTTTATCGCATTTCAAAACAAAAAAAAATGTGGGGCAGAAAATTTATATCTCAACAACTTTTCATTACCTTTGTACTGCTGATCAGATTTGATTTGCTTGGATGCATGTTGTACTTGGAGTAACAGTTTAACTCGTTCGATGGGAGCAACCGCAGTTTTGGCTACAGCTGCTGATATGCCCGCAGACATAAAATCGATGAAAAATGATTTGTATGCATCTCCAATACCACTTGCACTTTCATCTCCTTTTTTACCTGTATTGACCATTTTTCTTTACAATAGGTAGTTTAACATAATACAAAATTACGATTAAAATCAAACTAATTTTATTTTGGTCAAACTTCTTTTTTGTTTGTTACAAGTTATAAGCTTACAAACTATACAAGATAAATTTTTTTTGTGGATGTCGAAGCAGTGCTAGAATAGGCTAGGGGACTTTTTTTTGGATTTTTTTGTTTTTCATTTTTTTTTTTTTTTTTTTTTTTTTTTCGTATCATACGGAAGCGGGTTGATTTTCATTTGTTTTTCAAACGCACATAACATATACATGACAATGGCGACAATGGTACAATCAACCCACTATACCTATACGCACGCAATGGTTCTCTACGCGGAAATAAGTAAAACATGAGTTGTTTCACACTTTCACACATATTTTAGTGGCAATCGTAGTGGACGTTTTTTCTTAAACACTAGATACTTGTAGGTGTAACGAGAAGTTTTTCACGCGATCTTCAATATTTGTAAAGGAAATAGGTTTCATTTTTTTTCATCCTTAGAAAAGATATAGACTCTTTAAATTTATATTTCATATTTTATTATTTTTTTTCTGCTCAAACTTGAACTCTCCACTATAAGTAAAATAGTGTAAGGCTTCTTTGCACACGTTTTTTTCAATTCTCAATAAATCCACAGATTTCTGTTGGCTCTTTTGATACCCAAATAAGAGCTCAGCACTTTCTTTAGTCATCATTGTTTGCCTGCTCTTTTACATAATAACGAAAAAATACAATAGCTTTATCTTTGTTTTTCATTTCCTTTGAATTACAAAATATATCGTTATTATTAAGTATGGAGGTGTGTGCTTCTTATACGATTAAGCTAATTAAATAAGTATTATGGGACTAGAGAGTATCGACATGAATGAATGACACCCTGAGCAGTTTTATTTTTGCATGATACTTTCATTCACTGAACGCTTACAATTAAAATGTCGAGTATTAAGGAAAAGTATTGGTGTAGCATTAAAATATCTTTGCAGTGATTTTGGTTTTTGTGCACTAAAGTTGTAGTCAACATTTTTTCCTGAACCTCTTTTGTTTCTCTTCTTTCAGAATCATTGAATTTAATTTTAAAAAGTAGAATAAATTAGACTCCAACCAGAAAATTTTAGTTATCAACTGATTCCTTAACGTTAATCCCAGATTCCGGCCTATATTAATAAAATTAATAACCTCATTTAAAATGGTCTTTAAATGTTTCATGACTTAAAAATAAATTTCATGTAAAAACTGTCATGAAATTGTACTCTTAAAATTTTTTCATTGCGCTTGAATGCACAACTTGTAATACAAATTGAAATTCCTCTACACGCAAAAGCACTATCCCAATTGTTTTCCTTAATTAGGTGTCTAAATAGTAAAATACTGGAAGGAATAATATCTGGCACATCTCGGCATTATAGTCACTCTCGTGCAGATGGTTATAACTCGACATTAATCATCTTTCTTTCATTATTAGACAGAAAGAATTTTATTTAATTAGTTTTTCTCTTCTGCCTTCACTTCAAATGCCTCATACAGGAATGCAAAATAAAAGTGTATAAATATCCATAAATAGATTTTATAAAAGTTGTGAGTCGATGCAAGATAAATTTTAAAAGAATGCCTAACTGTAAAACACAGAAATATATCTATTTGTCAGTAAATTTCGACAAAGCTCGTTAACTGGTTTTTTAATATTGAACTGTTTCTTGTGCATACATTATTATTACTATTTTTTTTTAATCAATTTAAATAGCAAAGGACGCTTGAGATTGTATCCTTTGGAATTATTTCTGTGTAATAGATTACTTGGATGAATTTCAATTTTGGAAAAAGTCGTGACATCAAAAACATGGCAGTAAAATATTTCAATTGTTTATAAAATTCGTAAGTAACAATAATGACAATACAAGCATTCATTTTTCTACCAAAGAACTTAATTGAGATTTTAGATGTAAAAATAATAGAAAAATGTTTTGGATGACTGGTTTGACAAGTTGAACTTCAGTTGCGATTTTACAATTTTCTGTAAAAGACTGAGCTTTAATTTTTATCATTACACGTTTTGAAAATAACAGAGTGGAAATTCCTGAGTGTCATAATTCAAAAGCTATTCTCGTAGCTTCTGATTATCATTATAAAAAAAAATCATAATATTGCATTACAATAATGATAATGATGTACAATAATTTAATACTCATATAAGTTAATATTTGTAAGAATTAAAAAAAATTATCCCACCTCATACGACATAACGTGGAAAAATAAGACGCAAATCAAAAAGATCAATTGAGCAAAACGACTTCTTTGACAACTTTTGTAAGGAAGTTTATAACGAGGTAAAAGTAAATCTGCACGAGACTCGCACAAACAGATCCAAAACTAAAGAGTTGCAAGAGACATTCCTCGTTTTACGGAAATTGCATTTGAGATGCTTTGGCACTACTTCTTTACGCTGCATGGACAGACTGGAAAGAAAAAAATGAGACTGTAAAAGAGGCTGTTTTGAAAAAAAAAGTTTGGCATTGCTCAAGATTGCAAAACGAATTACTTTAGGAGCATAAAAAGTATTGTTATCAAACGGAATTAGTGGCTTTGTATGCATACCTTTGCAACGTCGACACCAGTCATGTTCTTCACGAGCTCAGGTACTCGTGCTACAATGTTGAGGACTTCCTCGGTCAGTTTCTCAGCACCGATCGTACCATTGCCACTCGACACCATTGTAATTTTCTTAGCCTGAGATAAGGGAGCAGCAACTTCGGCAGCAACCTATTTAAAATTAAATAAATTTATTTTACAATCTGTTTACCAGTTAACTCTAATTTTTCTGTACCTTTGGAAGGGTATCGAGCATCATGTCGATCATGGCAGCACTCTTATACTCGTTCCAAGCTGCAGCTTTTTTGGCCATCTGATCAGCTTCTGCCTGGGCCTTGGCTTCAATGGCATATGCCTCGGCATCTCCACGTATTTTGATAGCTTCAGCCTCAGCCTCAGCTTCCATGACTGTTTTAAGCTTGTTGGCTTCAGCCAGTTTCTCCAGTCTTTATTAAAATTTAATTTAAAATAGGTAAATCCCCAAATAAGCTCGTAACAATATTTAGATTTGTCCAATGTCCAACACCGAGGAAATAATAGTACCTGAATTTTTCAGCATTGGCAGGACGGCGCACGGTTGCTTCAAGCTCTCTTTCTCGCCGCATCATTTCTTGCTCCTGTACAGCTATCTCCTGACCACGTTCAACAACTTTGACTTGCATCTGCTCTTCCATGATCCGCTGCTTAGTTTTAGCCGCTTGCAACTCGTATGCCATCTCGGCTTCAGCTTTCTAATCATGAAATTTTTGATGATTCAACTTGGTGGTAATTTCAAGAAATTCGAAGGGAAAAAACACTACGTGCCTTTGTTTGTACTTCCACGTCATAGGCGGCTTTTTTCAACTCAAAATCACGCTGAGCTTTGGCAATCTCAGTGTCGTTGAGGAAACGCGCGGCCATGCGCTGTTCCTCGGCAATAGCTTCTCTAATCTGAGCATCCCTACGCGCCTCGGCTTCGCCGATCCTCGCGTCTCTCTTGACTTCGGCTGTCCTAGCCATGCCCAATGCTTTCAGATATCCCTGGAAAGCAAACAATGAAATCCCATTTGAATTTAACAAGTGCAAAGGGTGTGTGTAGCTGTGCCTAAGGCGTGAGATTTTCCACAGATATCAAATATGAAATGACGGATAGTACATAATATGAAATACGTATGGTTTTTATCTCTCAATTCACAGTTATCACAATACCATTGTTTAATACTGAGGTAAATAAGTTAGAGGACAAGGATTCTTTCAAGATGAGATCTTGAAAAAATTGGCATGAAAGGGTACATATAGTTTTGGAGGTATAAAGTTGAATACTTTGTATTAGAGAACATAAAAGTAATTTCTTTTGATTTATAGATATTATAAAATTTTTTTTGTTTCGCTAAAATATCAAACTAAAAAATTCCGTAAAACCAATGAGTATACAAAAATGTGTATTAAATAGTACATACTATACTAAGTCATAAATGTTATTGACATCTGATGAAAGTAACTTTTACACTCTCAGTAACCAAAGAATTTCAAAATTCTTGCGTAAATGACATTAAATACTACTAATGGAAGACGTGAATTAGGAAAGCACTTGAAGCAAGCATGGAAAAAAATAATACAGCGTTTGTGATGCATTAACTACTCTAATCCCACTTGATAACTAAAGAGATAAAACAGTGATTTGATGTACACTAAACTAGTGAAAAACAAAAATTTAACGTACCTTTGCCACCTGCAAGTAGCAAAACAAAAATATATATTCGTAATCATGAACAACTTAGTAAATTACTAACATTAAAAAAAGAAACAACTAATTTGTATGTTAAAACACAAAAATAAGTAATAAAGCGGTTTTCGTTAGCTTGTACTAATAAGAGGGATATATTGTTTTTTTATTGTTAAGCTAAGATGTTGAATACCTACTTAGCAATTAAAAAAACAAGGAACCTATGTAGTTTTGAAAAATAATAATAAAAATCTTTGAGTACAGATTCGAAATTTGTAGAAATATTACTTACTTCTTCATCTCTGATATCTTTAAGAGTGTAGGAGACTACAGTTATGCCCATATTAACAAGATCACTGCTGGCAACTTCAAAAACTTCTTTGCTAAACTTTTTACGATCTTTATAAATTTCCTAAAATTTAAGAAAAATACTATAAAATTTTAATCAAGAATAGCTATACCAATTTTAAGTTGTAATGAATTTTTTTGATAATCGACAGAACAAAATGATAAGATTTATCACCTCTACAGTCATACTGCCCATAATGGCTCTTTGATGCCCTTCTAGCGTGACTAGTGCAATGTTGTGTATTTCTTCTTCTGATTTTCCAAGAAATTGTTCGCATGCTGTTGAGAGCATTTCTTCGTTTTGTCCCTGTATTTTAACCTACGAAAAATATGTATCTTAGAAAAAATTTGATAAAACAATGACTTGTTAATTTTATAAATCATTAGAAAATTTCAAAGACATTATCTGTCAATGTATTACCTGTGCAATACCAGTGACTGATATAGGTACACCCTGAGAAGTATAAACAGTGGGACTCTCAACCTGCAGAGTCATGGTGTTCAGTGAAATTCTAAAAAAATAAAATCAGATGTCATACTGCTTCTGTAGAGGCTTGCCAGTAGAGCCGAGTCTAGGCAATTTAAAACTGGCTATTGACTTTATGAGCCTTAATTAACTGCCATATATGTAAGTTCCTTATTGACTAAAGCTACAGATACTCACTTCTGAACTTGCTGTACAATTGGCCAGACAAATACCCTGCCTCCAGGCACTAATAGTGGTTTGCCATAACAACATCCTTTCAAAATAGCATTGATCGAAAACAATTAATGTGTTATTCATTTTTAGCTTAAGTTACTTTTTCATTTTTTTTTTACAACACAAGAAATAAATATTCTTCATTACAACTACAATTATACTTGAGACAATTTTGATGATATGCAAAATATAACGGAGAGTAAAAAAAAAGAAGTGTCAGGAGCGTCAGGATCTCAAAGCAAACATATGTATCTGTATACGTATATACATACATATACACACGTATGGGAAAAAACTGACAACAGTGACAACTGATTCGTGGCCATGATTATATCTACTTATAAGTACTTGAATTATTAATATCACATCGATTTCTGTCGTTGTTTCCGAACACCCCACAAGTCATCAAACCTACAATAATCCCGCACGAAAGTACTCAACAAATTTTTTTTTTAATATGACATCATCTGTATTGATAAATGTCCAAATTAAAGTTATTAAGAATAAGTTTATCTACTCTATTTGAATCATCTCCCTAATATATTTGCATTGATTGACATACAAGCAAGTTAAAATCAAACTATCTTAAATACTTAAAAGATATAAAAAAACATAGACAGACTTCTCCCAACTCCCTGTCTGACAGTTGCCTACTTTGTAGTAGTAATAAAAATATGATTAAATGTATTCGTTCAACGATTTCACACATGATCTAACCCAAATAACACAATGAAAAAGCACCCTGTTATCACCCAATTTAAAGGGTTAATTAAATTGACCCATAGACTTTAAGTAATGGATTTAAATGAGCATGTGACTACAAACTTACCCGAGACGACAAGGGCCTCATTGGGACCGCAAGTGACGAAGCCGCAAGTGTTCATGATTATGTGAATCCTGGTCGACTAATTAGGTAGATGATAACACCACCAATGTCACCCTCTGCTGAAACACTTACACCCTTATACGTTTTACTCACAGAGGTCTCGCAGTACAACTCTTCCTCTGGACTTCCCTTTTTTCTTGTGATTGACTAATTCTGATATAATTATACTTAAGTAAGCACAGGTATTTATATATTATACTAAACAATACTATATCCAAATGACAGACATCCAGTTACCAGTATAACCAGGCTCAGACAATATACCTGCGACCAGATACTTACGACTTAAGTACGACAAATACGACACGCCTATGTCATCCACACCCTAACGACCAACGACGACGACGTGATAATAGATTTGTTCACCTTACAATCCAGGGACGGTCGGGGACAGTCTGGGCGAGTCGGAGACGAAAGTGAACAAGTGCTCTTCTCCGATCGTCCCCGATCGTCCCTGACCGTACACGATGCGCAGTTGTACATGTTAGGTTAGATTAATGCTGTATGTAAACAATAGTTTGTAAATAAAGAAGTGCAAATACAAAAAAGTTTGTTTACTTTTTGCATTAACCTAACCTAACGTGGACAACTGCGCATCGTGTACGGTCAGGGACGATTGGGGACGATCGGAGTCTCCGATTCGGAGAAGAGCACTTGTTCACTTTCGTCTCCGACTCGCCCAGACTGTCCCCGACCGTCCCTGGATTGTAAGGTGAACAAATCTATAGTTTATACAAATATAGATGTATATAAGCTGTCGGTGACGTGACTTAATTGTGCCTTGCTCCTTGCTTTGCTGCACAAGCAAAATAAAGTTAAAGGGGCATGCTATCACGAGTTTTTGGAGCTATTCACATAGACATTTTTTGCTTATTTCATTGCGGAGCTATTCACATAGACATTTTTTGCTTATTTCATTGTGAACGTTCATATTGACAAGGGGGTTCCACTGTTCCGCTAAACTCAAAGTGAGTGAACAGACCTATACTGTGTTCTCTGTCAGTCAACATAGTTGCGACCATATATATAGGCTTTGTTGCCTGATGGAAAAAGAGGTATAGGTTTGTTCAGTCTGTTCACTCACTTTGAGTTTAGCGGAGCAGTGGAACCCCCTTTTCAATATGAACGTTCACAATGAAATAAGCAAAAAATGTCTTTGTGAATAGCTCCTCTATCCCTATTCGCTCCGTACATGACACGCAGCGCCGCCCTCGGTGTCAGAATCGCGCAATACCGTACCCCCGTATGATTAAATCGTAACACTGTCGCTTATAGGAGAAAGTATTATTTATTGAATAAGACGTACATACTGCTATCGCGTAAACATCAGCACCCAAAAAATGGATATGATTATCCAAACAGGCTTTAAAATTATAAGTTGCAACATAGTTTTTAATAATGAAACGCTGACAAAAGCTAAAAAATTAGTAGAGAGTGGGCACGTTGCCTACGTACAGGAATATGTAAATAAAGGAGTCGGTCATCTGATCAATTGCTATGTTGTGAGACAAACATCTGTCAGCTTAAATCCATACAAAGTAGAATTATCTGTAAGTACATAATTGCCTATGCTTAACAAATGTAGGTTATGGTAACATATACACAAACTGCCATCAGGCCTGTAAAATTTTCATGATAATTTTACTTGTAATCAATAATAATAAAAAAAAAAATTCCGTAGGTTAGGTACGAACTTTTGTCTCCTAACTGCCCTAATCCACAGCTCCTTCTGTTTTGTTTTATGGGGTCTACTTGGGAATTTATACAGCACCACCCCCTGCTTTTCTTTCTTGTTGCAATTAACAACGCAACACTGACTCGTACGCATTTCGTTACTTTGTAAACGTAAACACTGATTCAGATTATACAGCTATAGCGGCAGCCTATGTCGACTGCTTGGAGTAGTTGGAGTTCTTGCTCTCACGTATACAACATTACAGATAAGTATGTGTGTTGTGTACTATATGACAGATTATGTTTAATAACCGATTATTTAAAATTTCGGGCGATTTGAAGTGCCTAGCAAAATTATTTATCCGTATTATAGACTCGGTGGCTAAATAACATTTTTTTTCCGCCTTCGATTTCTCAACTAATTACTTTAAATGAAATAATATCTTTTCTCATATAAGACAACGCTTACTATACGATTCATGGGGGTACGGGTTCGCCAACTTTGCTCACCTACAGCGCTGCAGTCGTTTTTTTTATCCCCTCCAACCTAATGCACGGTGCGAAAATATATATTTTCTGGACAGAGACGGACTTTGAGGGTAGTCGAAAATCTAAGGCTGCGGTTACATGGGGCGGAAAATTGCGCCGTAGAACTTTGGCAGGACAGTCTTTCTATAACTATACATATACACGGGGAGCTTTACTCTGATTGGCCAACCAAAATTCCGTCGCGTAAATTTCTGCAGCGTGTATTCGCTACGTGCACAATTTTGAAGCAGCGCCATCCTAGGGAAAAACGAGAACTGTTGGTCTGGCACAGCAGAAGGCAATATTCGCGATATGTGCTTGATACCTATAGGAACCCAGTACCTCGATAGATACACGAAAGGTTCTGTGTTTATTATATCACGAATTAATACAATGTCTCAAGTGGTACAATCCTATGTGAACAACTATAAAGACAAAATTTGTACTACAAGCACTATAAGCGCTTGAGTATGTCCGTGTGTACTGTGTGATACGAGATATGCTTATTAGTTTGCAATGTAGTCAACTCAGACCTCCTCTGACCAATCGGAGAGCTCCGTTAGCCCTATACCGGCGTGTTCACACAGTATGTACACACGTTCATACGATACGCTTAGAGGATTAG